TTTCCTTTTGTAACATCTATCCTTTATTAACTTTCTATAACTTGTTTAGACTATAATTCCTTTCAATCTTTAGATTTTCTTTTTTTGTTCCATTTTGAAAAATATGACCATTTTATTTTAGGATAAAAATCTTAATCCTAGCTACTCAGGAGGCTGAGATCTGAGGATCATGGTTCAAAAGCCAGCCCAGGCAAGAAAGTCCGTGAAACTCTTATCTCCAATAAACCACCAGAAAACCAGAAGTGGCACTGTAGCTCAAGTGGTAGAGTGCTTGCCTTGAGCTGAAGAGCTGAGGGAAAGTGCTCAGGCCCAGAGTTCAAGCCCCACTACCAACAACATATAAAGTCCTTTATCATTCAAAAAGATTTTCTTTCTTTAAATCTTTCTCTTCTCTAAACATATCTCCATTGTATCATCTTTTTTTTTTTTTCTTGGCCAGTCGTGGGGCTTGAACTCTGGGCCTGGGTGCTGTCCCTCAGATCTTAAGCTCAAGGCGAGCACTCTACCACTTGAGCCACACCTCCACTTCCAGTTTTCTAGTGGTTTATTAGAAATAAGAGTCTCACGGAGTTTCCTGCCTGGGCTGGCTTTGAACCGTGATCCTCAGGTCACGGATTACAGGCTTGAGCCACTGGATCCCAGCTCATCTTTTTCTTTATTTGGTTGTTTATGCCCCACTTCTCCTAGATTTATACCTTATAAAAATCTTTGTATCTAGAAAAAAACAGGGGGGAGGATGGGAAGGGATGGGAAGAGGAAACAAAAGAGGAGGCTCCGATGCTTGATAAGAAATGTACTCATCTTGCCCATGTAATTGTAACCCCTCTGTACAGTATTTTCACAATAAAAAAGCATAAAAATATAAAAAAAGAAAAAAACAGCTTTTTCCAAAAGTAATTAAAATTTAAACTCTTACTAATCCTTTTTTAAACAAAAGAGCCAGGATAAAAAAGGTGATCCTGATGGTTTCTATATATACTAACACTTTACGGTCACATTTAGAGCTACATTTAGAGCAGGCCTTAAATGCTAAGGGTACTTGAAGGTGTATTTATCAACTGATAATTCAGTATTTTAACTTATATAAACATACTAGAGGCTGGGAAGGTAGCTCAGTGGTAGAATGCTTGTCTGGCATGCATGAGGCCCTGGGTTGGATTACTCAGCACCATATAAGCAGAAAAAAAGCCAGAAATGGCGCTGTGGCTCAAGCGGTAGGATGCTTTCCTTAAGCTGAAGAGCTAAGGAACAGCACCCAGGCCCAGCGTTCAGGCCCCACGACCAGCAAAAACAAAAACATACTACAAATATCTGTCTCATTTTATTTAGAAAATGTACCCATTTTTCTAAGCTACAATATAGGTTTGGAGGCATTAAGGAAAGATACATATCATATAATCATATTTTACAGCCATGTGTATGTTAGGGAGTGTTTACTTAAGCAAGAATTCTTTAAGAGCATGAGTATTTTGTTGTTGAGAAGATGTGGCAGCTTTTTTATGAAACTAATATTCAACAAATCTTATCTACCTAAGATTTCCCCAAGTAGATCTTGAAAAGCATCTGGGGCTGGGCATGATGGTATATATCTGTAATCCCAGCACTTGGGAGGAAGAAATACCATAACTTTGAGGGCAGATTGGGCTAGTGATACTTTGTCTCAAAAAATCAAAAAGAAAAGCTGGGTGCCAGTGGCTCATGCCTGTAATCCTAGATACTCAGGAGGCTGAGATCTGATGATTGCAGTTCAAAGCCAGCAGGGCAGGAAAAGCTGTGAAACTCTTATCTCCAATAAACCACCAGAAAACCAGAAGTAGCGCTGTGGCCCAAGTGATAGAGTGCGAGCCTAGAGCTGAGGGACAGTGCTCAGGCCCAGAGTTCAAGCCCAATGACCGAAAAAATAATAAAAGAATAAAAAGTAAATAAATAAATGGGCTCCTACTTTTTTTTTAACTCATCAATGCTCATTTATTTCTAAATTCATTTCGATACCATGTAAGCAACATGAAAATATAAGCACACCAATAGAGAGATAATATAAAATGCACACTACACATGATAGAAATATGCTACAGATTGTATTGCATTGTTTGCCAAGTTTTTCTTTAGATTATAATGTGATAATTTCTTCCATAGCCCAAAGTAATCCTTAATCTTTTGCACTTCCAAAGGTTGAAATAAAGTAGTTTTATTATGCCAAAGACCCAGAACTTAACCTAAACACCGAAAGGCCCGGTGGAAGCAAAAAAGTGAAAAACTCATAAGGACTAATCAGCAGAAAGACTTGCAAATAAAATTTATCCACTTGGTAAATCTTTCTAACTTGTTTTCTGACCAGGTGCAGCCTTTTAATGAGTAAGAAAAACAATACTTTCTATGTTCATCCAACCTAAAAAAGACTTCTTGAGCTTTCTAAAGTCACTTTTGTTTCAGAGCTCTCTTCTCTCTCCTTCCTCTCTCCTTTCTCTCTCTTCTCCTCTCCCCTGCCTCATCTCTTCCTTCCCCCTCCTCCCCCAGCCCCCACCCAGTATGTTGCCCAAGTTATAATCCTCCTGCCTCCACCTCCTGAGCTGAGTGCTGGAATTCAGGCATGCAGGCCAGTATATCTAGCCATTTAATATGTTTTTAAAGTACCTGTCATTATATAACCATAAAACTCATTAGCAAGAGAAACAGAAGGATGTTAACCAAGTGCAAAACTAGTCACAATCCACAGCATAATAACCAGTCACATCTACCACCACACAAAAGTTTGTTTATATTGATATAGACCAGAATCATTATGTGTGGGTACATGCACACCATACTGAGATTTGAACTTAGGGCCTTATCACGTGGCTTTTTCTGAGCATGATAGTTCTAGGCACAATTCCAGTGTTCTGCCTTTTCACTAATTGGAGAGAAAAGTCTTGAAGATTGTCTGCTCCAGCTAGCTATGAACCTTGGTCCTCAAGTCCCAGCTTCTGCACTTGCTAGGAATGCAGGTGTGAGTAATTGGTGCCTAACCAGAATCACAGAATCATCATATTACTATCATCTATATAATATATATCATATATGTTTATATATGTGTATGTGTGTGATCGCAGTTCAAAGCCAGTCCAGGCAGGAAAGTCTGCAAGACTTATATCCAATTAACCACCAGAAAACTGGGAAGGGGCACTGTGAGTCAAGTGGTAAAGCACTTACCTCGAGCTGAAGAGCTGAAGGACAGCATCTAGGCCCAGAGTTCAAGTCCCACAACCAACAAAAAATAGTAAGTAAAACCAAAAGAGCTTGGACATGGCTCAAGTGATAGAGTGCCTGTCTGGAAAAATGTAATGTCCTGAATTAAAACTCCAGCACTGCCAAAACAAAAACCAGAAAAATCTGCTTTCAGAGGAGGGAGTCTAGTCATATGTCTAGAGTCCAAGTGAGATCAGCAGATCTAGTTTTCAGTCTCAGAAGGTAGTGGCTCACTCCTGTAATCCTAGCTCCTTAGGAGGCTGAGATCTGAGGATCACTGTTTGAAGCTGGCTGGGATAGTAAATTCCCCAGGAGACTCTAATCTCCAATTAACTACTCAAAAACTGGAAGTGGCACTGTGCACTGTGGCTCAACTGGTAGAACACTAGCCTTGAGCACAAAAGAGGTTCAGGGACAGTGCCCCTGAGTTCAAGCCCCACAACTAACAACAACAACAAAAGTATTAGAGCAGCTAGCTTTTAGTCATTTTTCTGTCATTGCTCTAGACAGGTGTTTCTCTTAACAAGAGATTTTAAGATTCTAACTGAAGGCTGAAGAAACTCAGAAACTGAGGATAAAAATTGCTGAGCTTGAGAATCTCTAAACCAATGTCCTCTTTTTAGTTACCTTGTACTTTTCTCCGTCTTTCCATTTGTGGTTTTATTGTGAATATGTCCTAAGCCATATCATCCTTTTGCTACAATTAATACCCTCGGCTACCCTACAACCCTTATCTTACTTTTAAACACTGCTAGGTAGTCAACTGCATACCACTTTTACAGATAAAGCAACAGAGGCCCAGGTGACTGATCACTTTCCTTGAGGTCGAAAGGTTTGCAAGAGGCTAAACAAAGGTTTGTTTGGACAATGGTTCAGAACCCCCAACTGCTCACCCTTTAAGAGAGCCTGGTCTTGCTATTCCATTAGTCAGAGGGTTACAAAGAGATCCCCTTTCTGGCTTCCCAGCAAGTGACACCCCCTGGATGCTCTCCCTCCTACTGGCTGTAAAATCTCCAAAGCAGCCGGCCCCTGACACCAGCCAAGTGCCTCCATGGGCGCACCCATTACAAAAAAGCAGGGCTGAGGAGGACCCGGGGCGCAGCTTGCACCTGTACCCCGGAGCACCCCCATTCCTAGGAGCATGGGGCTGTAGCTTTGACCTGTGGCTGGAAGTCTTGTTGCCCAGGCTCTGGCCTCAGTGACCAGGACTCCAGGCTTGGCTTCAGGCAGATAGAAACTCTCATAACAAGATTCCCCAAGACCGGTGCTTCTTCCTGCCCTAGAGACACTGGGCGGTCCTGGCGGGTGGGGCGGACCCACTTAGCTCCGGGCCCTTTGGGGCCTCGAGGACTACTCGCCTCGGGGACCAAAGCGCCCCAGGACGCCTCCACCAGGCGACTTTACCTTCACCCCGCGCCCCGGGCTCCGCCAGGCCACTTCCAGCCCCTCACCGCTCAACCAGCCTCCAAGGCCCCGCCTCCAGCCACCAGGCCAGGAAGGGTAACTGTTGGAAGAGGACAGTCCCCCTCCGACCCGGTGGAGACCGAGCGAACGCGCACCTGGCCGGCGGGAGCCAGGGCTCTTCCTGGCCTGAGACCCGAGGGGGCGTGTCTTGGCGCCTGGCAAAAGAGGCACGAAGGGCAAGGGGGCGGCGGCCCCACCCTCGAGGCTTCGCAGCGCTGATTGGCTGCTCTCGACCGAGAGGTGTGTCACGTGGTGTCCGCGCAAGCGCTCAGGGCGCTCAAATAGACCGCAGGGAGCCACGCGTTACCGCTTCTTTCTGCTGGGCCCCCAAGGCAGGCATTTTGGATCAGACACCAGAGCTTGTGGCTTTCAGCCAATGGCGGGATCCGAGTGGCAGTCGCTGGAACAGTGCTTGGAGGCTCACGTGCCGTCGGCAGACTTACGGGAAGTGAAGCGCATTCTGTATGGCAAGGAGACCAGGTGCGGGGCACGGAGGCTCAGTTGCGAGGTTCTGGGACCACCAAGTGTATGTTTGGGGGTCCAAGAAGAGACACTGAAGGTCTGAAGGCCTCTCAGCGAGGATGAAGCCCTGTCTATCTAGGCAGAATGTCTAGATGTGATCTTGTGGCCTTCATGGGTTACAGGATTCTGGGGTGAACCTTCTAATCATGTGCCCCCCCACCGTGTTGTCCCAAAACGGAGGGTAACGACGGGTAAGGGGGAGTTACTCTCTAGGGCTCTCTCCCTGGCCACCTGGCTTCTCTTCTCCCCTTTGATCCCCTTTTCCCAGAACCAGGTGAGTTCTGTGTGTTTTGTCAGTTCAATACCTTTAACCAGGGCATGCCTCCTGCACCCAGCAGCTACTCTTGATTGCTGTACCTCACCTCTCTACAGTGACCATGCCTTGGAATTAGAGGCCTCTGAATATTATTGGCAAAGGAAAACTTTCTCAGTTAGTTACCATGTACAGTGCAAATGATTTTCTACTCCTCAGCAACTGTGTGTGCATCACTAGGGCTTTCTGAGGGCCGTGACCTGTTGGACATTGGACTTTCAAAGCTCTTCCACTGTTATTTCTTTCAGTCCATCCTTCTTTGCCACAACCAAAAAGATGTCTTTAAAATGTAAATTACATCCTGTGGCTAGCTAGCTTACTTAAAACTCTCTAAGGGATTTCTTGGGCTATTGGAATAAAGTACAAACTCTGACCCTCAAATTAGAGACTGACTAAATTCCTTCTACCTCCTTGCCAATTTGTGGCTCTGGGCCTTACTCCGTACAGCAAGACTGCTTGCTCCACGTGTAGTGGTTTTGCATCAGGAATTTGAGCAGCTCACTTCTAACTGGGGGTTAATGATTGAGTGAAAAGTTCCCAGACACTGTGTGCAATTTAGTGCAGGGAGGCCAAATGCAAAAATGGCTTAGCAGATAGTGATTGGCTTTTTTTTTTCTTCACACCCAAACCGGGGCTGGATGTTTCTCAAGTCCATTCCTAGTATATCCATTCCTGCTCTACTTTCCACTGCACCTGTAAAGACTAGTCACTTAGGAAGGGTTTCATTTGAGGCTCCTGATTTGGTAGGCTAGATTCTTTTTTTTTTTTTTGTCTTGCACCAGTACTGGGACTTGAACTTAGGGCCTAGATGCTTTCTCTGTACTCAAGGCTAGCACTCTATGAGTTGAGCCATACCTTCACTTCTGGCTTTTTGGTGGTTAATTGGAGATAAGAGTCTCATAGACTTTCCTGCCTGGGCTGGATTTGAACCTTGATCCTCAGATCTCAGCCCACTGGTTTAGTTAGGATTACAGGCATGGCATCCAGCCTCAAGCTAGATTCTATTAAAGGGAATTAGCTTGCATTGTTGTTGTTATTGGGCTTGAACTCTGGGCCTGGGCTCAAGGCGAGCACTTTACCACTGGAGCCACAGTGCCATTTTCAGTTTTCTGGTGGTTAATTGCAGATAAGAGTCTCCCAGGCGGGCTGGTAGTGGCTCAGTGGTAGAGCGCTTGCCTTGCATGCTCAAGGCCCTGGGTTCGATTCCTCAGCACCACATAAGCAAAAAGAAAAAAGCCGGAAGTGGCGCTGTGGTTCAAGTGGTAGAGCGCTAGCCTTGAGCTGAAGAGCTGAAGGACAGCGCCCAGGCCCAGAGTTCAGGCCCCATGACCGGACACCCCCCCAAAAAAAGAGTCTCCCAGGCGCTCCTGCCTGGGCTGGCTTTGAACTGTGATCCTCAGATCTCAGCCTCCTGAGTAGCTAGGATTACAGGCATGAGCCACTGGCACCCAGTGGAATTAGCTTGTTTTTAGTAGGCACATTGTGGAGCAAATGATGGAATGAGTTAGTGGGTGTTAGAAGGAAGTAAAGTTGAAGGGTTTAGGAAAAGAGAAATATGTTTCCCAAAGAAATGACTGATAGCAGGCTGAGTAGCTAAAGGACTATCATGCAAGAGGAATTTTATTAACATTTGGAGAATTATAGAGTGGAATGGGATGAAATTGTAGAGTGGGAGGTAAAATGCAGCCAACCTCTGTTGACCAGTGATTTCTCAGACTTCATCCTCAGATATGGCCCACAATAACTGAAGTTGCTCTTCTCTGTTCTTTTGTATTTACCACATAGCCCTTCCAGGTTTTGTCTTTCAAATTGTAAGCTTTGTACTTGCTCAGTCTTTGTGACTGGATGGGCTATCTTATGAGCAGGTTTTCCGCCTGAATAGAAAATTATTAATTCTTAACTACTTTTAAAAATTTACTTCCCACTAAAACTCTGGTTCACACTTCAGTCAACTTTGGACTTGGCCACTTGGCAAAGGCCTGATAAGCCTAGAGTTCTTAGTCCTTTCTCTTAGCTTCTCAGCTGTGCTCTACACAAAGACCACTTTCTCTTCAAGTTACTTGCCTTTCCCAATATAGAGAAAATGTTTACTAAGTGAATGAACTAAATGGGCTTTGCCTGTGCCAGACAGATAAAATCCCCAGGGATCAGACTTCCAATTTTAAGATAGCCAGAAGCAAGAAGCATTCACTGATCCAACAAAGATTTATTGATCACTATTTTTGTGTTGAGCACTATAGCTTTTTGATGGTGGTGGTTGTATTTTGTTTCTGGTGGTTGCTGAGGATCAAATCTAGAGTCCTATGCATGCTTGGCAAGCACTATACCACTGAGCTATAGCTTCAGCCTTCTATTTTCATCTCTTTTTTTTGCTGGTCCTGGGGCCTGAACTCAGGACCTGAACACTGTCCCTGAATTTTTTTGTTGTTCAAAGCTAGTGTTCTACCATTTGAGCCACTTCCAGCTTTTTTCTGAGTAGTTTATTGGAGATAAGAATCTCATGGACTTTTCCTATGCTGGGTGGCTTTGAACAACAGTCTTCAGATCTCAGCCTCCTGAGTAGCTAGGATTACAGGTATGAGCCACCAGCACCTGGCAGTTGTATTACATCTTGATAGAAGGATAGAGGAAGAACCTAAAGAAAATTCACTTGTTTGGGGAAGTCAGGAAAACTTTCCAGTGGGTGCTATTTTGAGCTGCATCTTGGAGACAGAGGGATTCATTTGCAGAGAAGAGGACTGGCTGTTGTAGATCCTGAGGGCTCTGTCTGCATGTAACGGAAGAAGCCTTTAAAAATATTCCTTAGTCCTGTCTATAGGACAAGTGAAGGATGAGAACTGTAGATGTGGGAGTTCTGAGGTCTCAGAGAGGTGGTAAACAGGATGGGGAGGTGTCAGAAGTAATGAGGATTATGTCTGGCTTTTGGCTTGGACTCACAGATAAGTTGATGTGATGAGAACTAGTCTTAGAAGAATGATGGGTTTAGTTTTGGGTTAGTTGAGTTTGGAGTGTGCTGTTTCATTCCTAGGGTTGTCACAGTCACCACAAACTAGATAGTTTAAAACACTAAAAGTATAAGACCAAGGTATCTGTCTTCCTCCCAAACACTATGTATGTGGATATTGGGAGAATGCTTCCATTTCTTTTCTACTCTATGATGACTTTTGGCATTCCTGGCCTGTAGCAACCTGTAGCAATCTCTGCCTTGATTTTCTCCTATTAGCCTTGTGTATCTCCTCTGGGTGTGTCATGTAGGAATCCTTACCCTTGGATTTAGGGCTTATCTGACTAATCCAGATGACCTTAGCATTAGATTGTTACCTCTGTAACTGTGAAAACATTTTTCTCTAAATAAGGCCATATTAAGGCCTAGATATGTTTCTGCTAGCTGCAGGTATCTTTGTCATCTCTAGGTGAAATATCTTGAGGTTATTTGCTGTGTAGAGGTGAGGCTGGAGGCAGCCTGGTATTAGAAATGGCTACTGCAGGCTGGAGAAGTGGGTATTTGTGGGAGAGACCAGGAGGGAATGCTGGGGAATGGGGATATTAAAGGAGTCTGAGGACAGAAACTCTAGAAGTGATGAGGTAAGGCTCCAAGGCAGGACTGGAAAGGAATCAGTTGATACACAGATGTCTGATAGGTGAGGAATCTCTGGCTTAAATGACAAAAAGGCAGGGGCAGTCAGTCCAAAGATGGGAAGTGGGAGCCAGAAAAGAGAAAAATGAGGAGAGAATTAGAGATGAGAGAGGAGCAAAGGGAAGTTTAGGTGGAAGAGAGAGTGACTGAAGTAGGGGAGAATGTGTGAAATAGTCTCTTCTTCTTTTTTTTTTTTGGTCCAGTTGTGGGGCCTGAACTCTGGGCCTGGGCGCTATCCCTCAGCTCTTCAGCTCAAGGCTAGCGCTCTACCACTTGAGCCACAGTGGTAATTTGAACATAATAGTATATACTAAGCATACTGACACAAACCTTCAGTTTAAATCAATGACTTAAAGTGGGGTTTTTGGATGTTTTAATTTCACATGCTAGCCTAATAATCTAGTGTCCCAGCTCTTTAACGTGCCTCTCCCTCCCACCAGTTGGAAGTTTGAAATCTGGTACTTTCCCTTGCTGCCACTTTAAAACCTGAGCCATGCCTCCATCCCAACTTCTTGCTGGTTATTTTGGAGATGGAGTCTTGTAGACTTCTCTACCCGAGCTGGCTTTGAATCTGGATTTCAGCTTCTTTAGTATCTAGCATTATAAGCATGAGCCACCAGCATCTGGCTCAACATGTCCTCTTGATGCTGTTAGATATAGTAAACGGGAGGTTAGCAGTTAGAGGTTGCTACTGGCATAATATAGTAAACTGTTTTAAATTAACCTTTCTTTTTTTTTGTTGGTCCTGGGGGTTGAACTCAGGGCCTGGGCGCCTCTGTACTCAAGGTTAGTGCT